TTCAACGGCAAAGTCTATTAACTGGTAGTTGACTTCTCCGCATACGGCAAAAAAGTCTATTAACCGGCAGTTTTCTTCTCACTTCAAACTACCATGACCCCCCTATATGTCCTACATTCTCATACGGCAAAAAAGTCTATTAACCGGCATTTGACATGACTTCAAACTACAATCACCCCACTGTATGTCAAATTCGACTACTAGCTACCATGACCCACTGTATGGCATATTAGTCTACTTCCACAGTACTCACCTCACCTTTTTTCTACCTCTGAGTCTGTATACTTCCATAGTACTCACCTCACCTTTTTTCTACATTTGTATCTTCCACAGTACTCACCTCACCTTTTTCCTACCTTTTCTAAGCCTCCACAGTACTCATCTTACCTTTTTCTCTACCTTCGTGTAACACAGTACTCACCTCACCTTTGTTCTACCTTTGTGTCTGTTTAAACTACCATGACCCCACTGTATGTCATATTCGACCCCTTTCACAGTACACACCTCACCTTTTTTCTACCATTGTCTCTCTACAGTATTCACCTCACCTTTGTTCTATCTTTGTGTTTGTCTCTTCCAGTACTCACCTCACCTTTTTTCTACCATTGTCTCTCTAACCGCACTCACTTCACCTTTTTACCAACTTTGTGTCTGTCTCTTTTACATCCCCTCCCATCTCGATCTTTTTCACTTTGATGTTCCTTCCCATCTGTGAAGCCTGAAGTCAACTAAAGGGCTAATGATAATTATCAAAACGCCTGCCATTTGATATAAATAAATAAATATTTAAGGCGGAGAAAGAAATTTAAAAATTTGTGAGGACGATCGGTGAAATGATGAGATACTTCCAGACATTTCGTTTCCCCCAGTTAGAGCTAAAACTTCGGCTATCTCAAATGTCGATCCAGTGGGCAACACTTGTTCGATGCCTGGTGCAGCAATTTTCCCAAATCATGGCCAAAAGGCTATTCAAATGTTCAACTCTGCAGTACTTTTGGAGTTTAGGTTAGTGCGGGAGATGCTAGATCAAAAGGTTTAAAATTCAAATGCCGTCTTCATTCAAAGGTGCAGAACTGAGCATTAATCATAAATGCAATAAATGTAAATTCGTAGGTGGTAAGTAACCACCGTTTTGCTCGAATTTCTCACTTGATGCGCTATTCTTTTTTTCTTTACGAACTGGTGCAGTTGAGCAAGCTGTCCAAAGTCCAACATCTATTTTCTTGATCGTTTGCATAAAGATTTCTGAGGCATCTTGACTAGGCATTACAATGTCAAGTGTCTACCCCCCCCCCCATCATCAAAGCATTCATTTGGGAGTAACAGAAGAACTTTATTAGGTCTAAAAATGCTTACCATCGGCCTTTATCGCATCCCTTAATTTTTGACACTTCACTTAAAAATACTAACTGATTAACTGGGTCTTAAACAAATATTTGGAAAATGTAATAATTAACATCAATATGCATCCTCCTAGTACTTTGTTTTGCCCATAGGAAAATTCGACCATGAAGGATAGGTGGCAAGTATTCAAGGAGGTATGAGCCCGGCTGATTTTTCACAAAATATGAGACGTGGCTCCAAAATTACTTTAATTCGGTCAATTAACTGATTGGCTTTTTTTAGTACTGTCACAGCGACCAGTGTCCTACTCTGCAACATCCCCCCCCCCACCCAACCCTACTTGAATAAATGCCAATCGAGTTAAAATCCTGATGGTGAAGAATTTCAATTGGCAAACAGATATTGGGACTGGGTGTAACAGAAAGGATTGACAGACAGACAATTTTGACTTCGCCTTGAGGTGTGATAAGAGACTAAATCTATGGTCTATTGTTGCCTAACCTCGTCAATTATCCAGGGTCAAACTACTACAATAAACATCAATTCCAACTAGGCGTACGAATTTAATCTATAGCTCTTCTTGCAGAGAAAAAATACCTTGGTAGATATCACACCATATCAGAAAGCACATATGTTAGAGATCATTTATCATGTCTTTTCTTTGTGGATACACGATGGTAGTGAGACACACTTTCCTATTTGTAATTGAGCGTGATCAATTGCCTGGTGACTTGATATCTTTAAGCACTCTTAACTTCCCCATTCATTAGTTGCATCTAAATTTACCATCTAAATAGTTTCAATTGCCACAATATATTAATAAGTGATCTAGAAAGAATGGCTTCCGAAGTTTTTACACCATGTTTTAATCTCGTTTGATAGAGATGATTCATTTTTATTAGAAAAAAAATATATGAAAAGTTATTGTTGGATATTTCATAAAGATAGCATGTGTAAAAGTCGCCTTAAATTTTTGGATCATTGCCTGTACACTTTTTCGCGGTATAGCCTACCTATTGGGTATTTACGTGTTTTCATTGGTTCTCAGATTTGAGGCTTTTGGTGGGGGAGGGGGGGGGGGGGGGGTCAATTGATGTCATAATCATTTCGAAATTCAGAAACAACTTTAGTTTCAAATTGGTCGCGCTTGTCAGAAGTAGCTGTTGTGACTGGTCGTCATGCTGTCAGTTGAAATAGGGCCACTGAGGGATCCAATTTTTAATTCAATTTTCCAGCATCATGTGGCAGGCAAGAAAAAGCTAATTTTAAGTACTAACAAGTTCACATTACAAATGATTCACCATGAATATTTATTTATAACAAATGACAGGCGTTTTGATAGTTATCATTAGCCCTTTAGCTGACTTCGGGCTTCACAGAGGGGAGGAGGAACATCAAAGTAAGAAGAATTCAGGAGGGAGAATAGAAGGGTGTTTCAAAGATGTAAAAGAAACAGACACAAAGGCCCAAAAAGGGTAAGATGAGCACTGTGGTAGGGGTCGAATATGACATACAGTGGGGGTGATGGTTGTTTGGAGTGAGAAGTCAACTGCCGATTAATTGACTTTTTTGCTGCATTCATTGATCAAACGTTAACTACATAATTTATACATATTGGTAAATATGATGGCAATATAATTCGAATTTGACCGAGCGCATCATTCCTAAATGGCCGGTAAGGTAATGTGGAGTAATTTCATTTGATTTTCTTTCAAATGTTTTTTTTCAAATGCATGTTTATTGCACAGTTATTTGCTTTAATTAAAGGAAATAAGGTAAAATATTTCTATTTGTGCATTTTTGGAAAAGGGAAATGCAATTATTGCGATTCTTGAATTGGAAGTGACCGTTCTGATTGTCACAATTTCAAAGAACGCTGCCATTAAAATACCCCCAGATACCTTTAGCCTATTTTTTGCCAAAAGTACTTTTATAAATTCCTGGGTAATAAATGCTTCCATTTTATTTGGAAATTCGTGTTTGCACATGAAAGAATCTTTTATTAATAACAATGATTACTACAAATAGCAAAGTAAAAGAGTTACACTTTACAGCTGAAGGGGTGGTGGTGGTGGGGGGGGGAGGGGTTGGGACGTAATTGATATTTTCAAGTAATATTTGCATAGCAAGATAGTAGTTGGTGGTTGGATGATTTCAGTGTCAACGGCCACTATCATCATCATTAGCCCAGTTAATTTCCTTAATATTATTCCCTTTTAGTGAATTGGCACATGAATGACCTATGACTTTTTCTAAGTATTCACTAAGTCAAAATCCACTAATGTAGAATGGCTCCAGAAATTAGTTAAGCTGCCTCTACGCATGAGATTGTGATAATTCTGTGGTATGTCTCATTTATATGACACTGTCGCTGAACTTAGTCATTAAATAATATTTTCGGTGTGCTGGTCCTATAACGACTATTGATTATTACTTGGTAGGGACCTCATTTGCTCCCTAGCGAGAACAGCATCACGGTCACACCTTCCAGAATGTTCGATCGCGTCTAAGATTGCTTAGTTTAATCGTTCTAGGATTTTGTACTCCACACTCTTTGATTCAATAGTTCTTGGTAGTAAATACTACTCAAAGAAAATGTTATATTCCTTAAAATAAATTTCCTATTTAATAAATATTCACTTGGCACCACTTTTAATACTTCTTTATTCATTCACTTTTTGATTGTTTCTCTAAGGGAGAGGCATTATTCCCTGCTAACCTTGAGCTTGGGCTGAGCGTATCTGCAATACCTAAGGAATTTTCGACCCTGGCTTCCACTCGGAAATTGCGGTTAGTACCAGACGTCCATCTCTGAAATATTTAAATTTCCTTCATTCGCACTGAACTTGGTGCATTGCTCTAAAATTAAATAACTAATAACATCACTCTCGGGTTACTAATCATGATGGATTTATTTTATTTCAGCGTATAATAAGAAGTTTTAGGAGAAAGTTATTTTGAATTTATCTAAAAGCAGTCAAATACGAGGAAAATGTGGATCACCGTGGGCAGTTTAAAACTTGTTTAAATCAACGACTTTCACTCCATTGTTGTAAATCGCGTCATTTCGGACTAAAATTAAATTTGAAGAAAAATTACACTTAAAACGAATTACAAGTTATGCTTAATTTTTTGAAAAAATCAGTTAGATAGTCGGCATGAAACTACATATCTGGCCAAATTCGATTCACTCTGACGCTAATAATCAAGTTGCTTTCTATGTCATCAATCGTTTTCCCCTCTTTCTTCCTTTAGAGTGGTTATATTCTTTGTGTAATCAACGATCAATCCTTATAATAATATGGCTCATTACTCTCATATTGGCCTTGAAAATTAGACATTTGTGGTGGGAGGTTATTTGGGGTTAAAAGTTAAAATGTTATCTTCCAGATTTCCTCTATGTGGGACTGAATCTTGACTCTCCACATGTGCGCTTATTTGGGTGGGCGGTTATTTGAATCCAAAACACAGAGTTTCAAGAAACGTAATTTTCCGTTAAACTCCCCTGGGTGGATTTTCGGAAAACCTCGGCACTTCTAATAATCTCCATAAAAATAATATAAGCCATCAATCGCGTTGCAGCTGAGAGACTGAAAATTCACTTAGTTGGCAAACTCACCAGGGATTACGCTAACATTTTTTTCATGGAATAGGTGTTATTTGAAGGCTGAAATAGTACTGGATGGTATCTTTAGAAGCAACTTACACCTCCAATTCCGGATGCTATAATCTATAACTTGATTGAAGTTTGCATCATCCACCATCAAAGTAGTATCCAATGTAACATCAGGTGTCGCAAGCATTTTTCTGAAAACGAAATGATGGATAAGAACCCACGATTGGCCATAATTTTCACTAATCAAGTAGGATCGTGAAGAACTGGAATAACCAATAAGCGTTCTATTGGCTCTCAAGTAGGCCTTGATGTGTGTTATCGCAGGTCCAAGATCTAAAATAGCAGACTGGGAGTTCAAAACTATCTCCTTCATGAGACTCCTTTAACTGAACAATCCTTACACTTCCAAATTTTTGGATTTCTGTCAAAAGTCAAAAAGCACTTTCCCGGACCAGGTAAGGATTGATCACAATATGCAATGAAAAGTTGTCCGTCAAGACAGCTTCTGAAGGGCGAAATGAAATTCACGAACGTTGAGCTTTGACCTATTTAAGTGCAAATATGAAAGTAAATAAATGCAATATAAGAAATTAGTGAGTTGAAAAGGATGGAGTGACTAAAATACTATTTTTAATACAGGAGACTTCTTCATTTCTACTATTAAGCAGTAGTAGCTTTACTTATGTTCCAACACAAGGGTGACTTTCATTGATTGATGATATATAACTATTTATGCCATGGAAGTAAATGATATAATCTTGTCTAGTATAATATGTACTATAATAGATTCAATAAAGTACGATTTTCAAGTACTAGCTTATATTTTAATCACCCTGCCAGAATACTGGAAGCAAGGAATGAATGCCTCAGACATTTCGTAGAAATTGCTATCATACCATCGAATTCCTCTGGCAGACTTAAGTCATTGTAGAAGTAGACTGGAATTAGGCAAGAAGGAATGCAACGCAGCATGCCAGTTAGAAGTCTCTCCGAGCTCTCCAGATTCACATTTTTATCTTTTCCTTCAAGTATCAGGTTGAAACGAAGCTCTCTGTTATTCCGCACGACGCCGTCCTAAAAGCAGTTGGAGAAGATTCCATTAAATCCAGCTTTTCTGATGTAAAACAACTATTCCAAGTATTCTACCTGGAATACCAGCTCTCCCAAACCATCTTGCAGGGGTGCTTGGAGAATGGTGACCGCATCGCCGGTTTTCTGGGCGACGATGATATCAAATCGGCCTCCGTGGAATAGCCATAATGCAGCACGATCGCATAATTTATTGGAATTTTTCAGGTGACTTATGACCAAATCCACCGTGAATTTTCCCCTTAAATTAAAGTTTATCAACGCAAGCTGTACAATGAATGCAAATTTATTTATAGATATATTTATTTAGGAATCTCTCTATTGATATTTACCAAAATTATGCATTGTAATGGTTAATATGCAACTTAACTGATTTTGATTTCATAATTTGACTTGAATAAAAAATTGCCTATTTTCCACAAATATTTCACTCAAAGTCTCTTCCGTTACCACTACAAATGACAGTTCTGTCTAATCTTCAAATTATTTCTTAATTTGAGATACTTCTATGAGACACTATGACTAATACAACCTCCCTATTTCTTAGAGACTGGAGTTTGTTTGTTTTACAAAAATATAAGTAAAATCCAGTAATTTGGGTATGAACTGAATAAAAATATCATAACTCCATATAAATTTTATGCAAATATTATGATACTTATGTCCAAAAAGAAAACGGCATTTCGTCCAACATAAAACTTTGATTTGAGTTTCTTTACCCCAAACTTCTAGGTCCCGTTTACTTATTTCCATATTACTCGAACGAATTTCTCTATATTGCAGTGGTAAAATGAGGACCAAATTAGCTACAAGCATGTGACATGTTCTGCTGCTTAGATTTGGGTTTGTATTTGCCAAAAAAGTGTAATTATTAATGAAATCTCAACGTCGATTGCCTTATGAACGAGCTGATTATAGGAAGTTAAAATCCAAAAATATCTGATACTCACCTTCTTAGCTGCTTAAAGTTATAGTACTCGAAATTCATTTTGAGATCATCACCACAGGCTCTAATGACCCTTCCGTTTAGCGTGCCTAACAAGGTGGAGGCATCGTAGAATCGAAACGCAATGGGATATTCTGTCTGTGTTGCATTTCCGGGCTGATGACTTAATTTGAAGGTAGTTTCGAAAAATATGGAGTCCGAGTTCTTGTCAATAAAACTGGGCGTGGACTTGTATTGAAAGCCTTTAATAAATAATTACACCTAACATTTTTCTATTGAAATGATTAAAGTTAACAAGTAAATAATAGTAATTCGATAGCGAAAATATTCGCATATAATTTAATTATATTCAAAACTGATCTATTTGGTATTTTGGAGGCATTAACTTATTTAATTCTATTGATGTGCACTAATTTACTAAAATTGGTTCGAATTTTTTTTAATTTTCCTCCCAAATTACATTTAAGGAAAAGTGGAACGTGGAAGGGGAATAAGGGGGGGGGTGGG